GTTTTTAGGCATCTTCTTATCATCTCATATTCATTACCTCTCCAATTTCCCCCCTCAATAATAATAATAATAATAATAATAATTTTTTATTATTATTATTATTATTCTCTCTTATAAATCAATATCCTTTTTCTGACAAAACATACAAGCTTCCTCTACATGCCATCACAAACAATAACTTGTCTTCCCACTTTCTCATGCCCTTTAAATTTCCTTACAAACCCTCCAAACTTGATATTGTATTAAGAAAAGACTACTGCCATTGCTAAACATCGAGAATGAATGGAAAAACAGGCAATACCGTTATAGACATCGATTTCTCGACAAAACCCGAACCTATAGGGGCGAAAGCTGAAAACTTGGCAGCTTCATGTAAAGCTCCAATAGGGAGTGTTTTGGGGTTTTGCAAAGAAGACAGCAACCGAGTTTTATTCTCATTGAAAGTTGGGTTGGCTGTTGTTTTAGTGTCTTTGCTTATACTTTTTCGAGCACCGTACGATGTGTTTGGCACTAATATCATTTGGGCTATCATCACTGTGGCCATCATGTTCGAATATACAGTTGGTTTGTAGCTATTCATAAACCCCACGTTTGTTTTTATTATGTTATAATGGTAATGGAGTTTTTTTGGGGTTTTGTTGTCAAAAGGAGCAACTTTCAACCGTGGTTTCAATAGAGCGCTTGGAAGCTTGCTTGCAGGAATCTTGGCCATTGCTGTTGCCCAACTTGCTCTACGCACCGGCCCTATTGCAGAACCCATTATCATTGGCATTAGCATTTTCCTAGTTGGTAACTTTCTCACCAAAATTTACGGTTTTTATAATAGCTGCGGGCAGATATATTGTTCTTTCTGGATTGGGTTGGGTTGGGTTGGATTAGCATTTTGAATAAGGTTGGGTTCATTTTTCTGAACTCGAACTAAATCGGTTTGATTTTGGGTTCATGGCAAAACCTTCGAGTTGACCCGAGTCAAATAAAATATATAAAATGTATTAAAAAAATTTCTGTATTATGTGTTTGACAGTGGTACTGAGTTCAGTATAAGAACACTTACCCTGACTAGTAAGTTTTTGTTATTTTATTGTTTTGTTTATATTATTTTATTATTTTTAAAATAAACTTTATTTATTATTTATATTATTTTGTTATTTTATTGTTTTGTTTATATTATTTTTTTTGTTATTTTATTGTTTTGTTTATATTATTTTATTATTTTTAAAAATAATTGTTATTTATATTATTTTGTTATTTTATTGTTTTGTTTATATTATTTTATTATTTTTAAAAATAATTGTTATTTATATTATTTTGTTATTTTATTGTTTTGTTTATATTATTTTATTATTTTTAAAAATAATTGTTTATTATATAATAAAAGGTTTATTATTAATTTATTGTTTTGTTTATATTATTTTATTATTTTTAAAAATAATTATTTATTATATAATAAAAGGTTTATTAATTAATAATTATGATTTATGCCTACCTTATTTTTATTTTTCTAATAGTTTTGAATTAAGGTAACATATAAATAGTCTTATTTCAATTAAAATACTTTTATATATTTTTTATAGTTTTTTTTATTATTTATATTGTTTTGTTATTTTATTGTTTTGTTTATATTATTTTATTATTTTTAAAAATAATGGTTTATTAATTAATAATTATGATTTATGTCTACCTTATTTTTATTTTTCTAGAGACAACCTATAAATAATCATATTTCAATTAAAATATTTTTATATTTTTTTATATTTTATATTTTTATTATTTATATTATTTTGTTATTTTATTGTTTTGTTTATATTATTTTATTATTTTAAAAAATAATTGTTTATTATATAATAAAAGGTTTATTAATTAATAATTATGATTTATGCCTCCTTATTTTTATTTTTCTAATAGTTTTGAATTAAAGCAAAATGTAAATAATCATATTTCAATTAAAATATTTTTATATATTTTTTATATTTGTTATATACAATATAATTGAAATATTTTTATATATTTTAAATTTTGTTATATACCGTACTTGCTTTTTATTGTTTATTTAATTTCATGATTTATTATTTTGGTTCTTTAATCATTCTAAAAAATGTTGGTATTTAATTGTCTTTTATTTGATAATATTAAACTGGGTTGTATTTAGTTATTTTTAATTATATGATAATGTTAAACTTAAGTTAATATGTTACAATTTTCGGTGGTTCTTCTCTATTGAATTTGTTTTGTTTTGTATTTTTTTTTTTTTTTGTCAATAATTATAGATTGATTTTTAATATATTTTATGCAAGATTGTGTCTGAATAATTATAAATGGCACATAAATAACGTCACCAATCCAACCTACCCAAACTTTTGGGTTAGGTCAAAACCCCTACTTATAAAGAGTGTTTCGTTTTCCTCCCCAATCGATGTGGGATCTCTCAATCCATTCCCCTTTGAGACCCATTGTCCTCGCCGATAATCGTTACTTTCTTCTATCGATTAGATTCCATCCAAATATACCCCATTTAGGGCTCAATGTCCTTGCTGTCACATCGCCTCATCCTCTTTAGGGCTTAGCCTCCTCGCTGGCACATCGTCTCATGTTCACCCCTTCAGGGCTTAACCTCATCGCTGGCACATTGCCTCATGTCCACTCCTTCAGGGCGTACCCTCCTCGTTGGCACATCGCCTCATGTCCACCCTTTCAAGGCTTAATCACATCACTGACACATCGCCTTGTGTCTATGGGATCTCATAATTCACTCTCCTTTGGGGCCAGCGTCTTTGGTGACACATTGCCTCATGTCCACCTCCTTCAGGGCTTAGCCTCCTCACTACACATTGTTTGGTGATACCATCTGTACCAGATATTTTCCTTTTTGGACTTTTCTTTGAGCTTCCTTAAAACGTGTCGGTTAAGAAAAGGTTTCCACACTCCTGTAAAGGATGTTTCATTTTACTCCCCAACCGACACGGAGAATCTCCCAATAAGTTAGAGTATGAATGATAGTAATAGTAAGTTATATCAGTAATGTGAAAGTGTGTTGAACAGGAAGTGTGACATCATTCATGAAGCTATGGCCATCGCTAGTTCCATACGAGTATGGGTTCAGAGTTTTACTTTTCACATACTGCTTGATAGTTGTTTCTGGTTATCGAATGGGGAACCCACTGAGAACTGCCATGGATCGCCTCTACTCCATCGCCATTGGAGGATTCGTTGCAGTGTTAGTGAACGTCCTCGTTTTCCCCATCTGGGCTGGCGAGCAGCTGCACAAGGACCTCGTCGCCACCTTCAACTCCCTCGCTGATTCCCTCCAAGGTTCGAACTTTTGGTTCAACTTTTAACATTCTCTCATTTACTTGAAAAACAATGTTACAAATTTGGCAGAATGTGTGGATAAGTATTTAGAAGACGAGGGATCAGTACACAACATTGGGCAACAGCTTCCCAAGGCTGTAATGGATGAATTTCCAGAGGAACCAGCTTATAAGAAATGCAAAGCCACCTTGAACTCCTCTGCAAAGTTTGAGGCTTTGGTACGCTAAAATTTACCCTTTTTCTTCTTATGAACACTATGATTCTTAATTTCTAATCCAATGGAAATGACCATTTTTTAGGCGACATCCGCGAAATGGGAGCCGCCACACGGCAGATTCAGGCACTTCTTTTATCCATGGACGGAGTATGTTAAAGTTGGAGCTGTTTTGAGATATTGTGCTTATGAAATTATGGCTCTTCATGGTGTTCTTCACTCTCGAATCCAGGTCATCATTTTGATCCTCTCAGCTTCATCTCTTGTTCCAAGTCTTGTGGGTGTTTTTAGTATGAAATTTTGAAGAAAAAAGAAACTATGCTATATTCTTCAACGCTTCATTGAAGGTTATTCGCTTTGACCCCTTACGTATCGTCGTTAGTATCACGGTTTTAAAACGCATCTGCTAAAGAGAGGTCTCTACATCCTTATAAAGAATGTTTCGTTCCCATCTCCCACCGACGTGGAATCTCACAATCTACCCTCCTTGGAGGCCAGTTTCCTCGCTGGCACATACCATTTGTAACCGTCAAAGTCTACCACTAAGGATATTGTTCATTTTGGCCTATTACGTATCGCCGATAACTTTACAGTTTTAAAATGTGTCTGATCTTCTTAGACGAAATTCAATTTTATATTCGATAGATTCATTTTTATATCTTTTGTAGGCTCCATATAAGCTCAGAATCACATTCAAATCCGAGATCCAAGAAACAGCAAACCAAGCAGCGGAGCTGTTGAGAAGTTTGGGCAAAGACATCAACAACATGCAACAATCCCTCAAAATATATCTCCTAAAGAATGTTCATACTGCAGCAGACAAGCTGCAACAAGCCCTTCACACTCACTCTTATCCCCTCACTCCCACTTGTGCCTCCCTACACCTCTCTTCCAAGCTTCAGTCCAAGCTCTCGACTGCCTCGTCGAACAGCCTCTATGATCTTCCAAGCTTGTTAGCCGAGCTCAACGGCAATGGGCCGGAGAGGAGTTTAAACCAGCAGAATAGTCATGGTGTGGCTGCAGGGACTCAAGCAGAGGCTTACGTTGAGTTTGTGAGGAAGCAGTCAAGAAGGCAGAATTCGTGGCCGTTGAGGGAAATGGATGTTTTCGACGATGATGGGGGTGTTCCTGTCGAGTTTTTACAGAGGATGAGGAAGCTAGAGAGTACTGCAGCCACATCACTGGCTAACTTTACTTCCTTGCTCATCGAGTTCGTGGCTAGGCTCGACTATTTGGTCGAAACCGTGGATGAGCTTTCTAAGATGGCCAAGTTCAAAGATATTATCATTAGCTGAAGTTCTTGATATGTAACGTTAGCCATGTGGTTTCCATCAATGGAAAGTTGTTACCCCTTCTTCCTTTCCTTCTAATTCCCTACTAATTTGTAAAGGCATAATCCTTTAGGACCCTAAATTTTCCTTCCACAAAATGCAAGAAAGAGTAATGAACAAAAGAAGAAAAGGTAGGAAAGTAGGAATAAAAGGATGAACACAGTAAAAGGGGTTATCCATGACCAGAAGGGCAACATTAACAAACCTACAGGTTGTTGAACTGTGTTCATAGCCTGTTCGACATACATTATCTAAGAATATATACAAGAAAGAACAAATCAACAACCCAAATACGGTAGAATTTGCCCTCACAATATAGAGCACTCTTAAGAAGTGTTTCCATTTAGACCAATAAATAACAAGCTTTATAATTGACAGATACTAAATAAGGAGAAGGAGACCAACATTACCGACTGACCGTGCTCCTAACACCAGATGCACATAAAAGGAAGGCTGAGATAGCTGCTTTACACCCAACTACGAGGCAATGTGTGATGTTCCATTGGCTGCTCTTGACCAGACGCTGCGTTTATACTGCTTGAGCCCAGCCCTGAGCTGCAAGCAAGCATTGCCAACAAGCTTCCACCGTGCACCCTACCTTCGGGAACAATAACTGACTTTGATGGCTTTTCGGCTTCACTGACTGCATATTTTCTGAGATTGGGACTCATTTTGCCTCGTACCATGATGAGATCTTCATTCATGTAATCTTCCATAACAACGTCTTTCATCTTCTCTGTCTTGCTGAGATTAGGCTGCTGAGTGTTAGGACCAAGTGAGACACCCCCATGAACCCTCTTATCTTGCACCAGACCGCTATGATGTGCACAGAGACCCATCTTCCCCCTGGCGAATGAATTGCATGGGCAACAGGGTTGGGTGCCATATTCAGACCCAGGATGACCCCAAGAACATCTCTTTCCTCCACCATGGGCCTTGCAGAAATCTGTGCTTCCTTGTGCACTCTTGCCACACCCTTCGAATTTGCATCTCTTACCCCCACCATGACGCACACAATAGTCGGTCCTTCCCCTAGCACTTTTCGTGCACTCGGGAACAGCACATCTCTTGCCCCCACCATGTGCCACACAGAAGTTGGTACCCCCATGGACACTCTTTGAACAAATGCCGCCTCCTTGGAAGCCACATCTTTTTCCACCACCATGGCCCTTGCAAAATGGGGTGCTTCCTTCAGCACCTTTGGTACAACCAGGAGCCGTGCACCTTTTTCCTCCACCATGGGCCTTGCAGTACATGGTACTCCCTTGTGCCCCTTTGGTGCACCCAGGCATTTGGCATCGCCTACCACCACCATGAGAGATACAAAGACCAGATAGGCCTTCTGCACTCTTGGTACAGTTCTCCTTTTGACATCTCTTACCACCACCATGACGAATGCATAATCCTGATTTCCCTCTTGCTGCTCGAGTGCATCCTTCACGGTTGCATCTTCGACCCCCACCATGGGCAATGCAATGGTCTGTGCGTCCTTCTGCACTCTTGGTGCAACCCAAGTGTTGACATCGCCGTCCACCTCCATGGGCCTTGCAGTATACAGTGCGACCCTCAGCTCCTTTGTGGCATCCAGGTTTCTGACACCTTCGACCACCACCATGTGATATGCAACGGCCAGAAGCACCTCTAGCTCCCTTGCCACATCCCTCAACTTGACATATCTTGGAATTACTACTACGATTAAAGCGTACTTGCTGCTGTTGTGTTATCCCGGAAGTACAGGTGACTGAGCTTTTTGGCATGGTTAAAATGCTCGAGGAAAGGTCTGGAACATTGGCATGTGGAACCACTTTCTCAGTAACCGAGTGAAAAATGTAGCCAACCTGAGGATTCAATGAGGGAGGTGCGACTGGTTGGGCAGTTACTGGCTTCCAACAACCTGATGTTTCTCCATCATCTGTGTTTAAGGTTTCTACAAATGGAAATGGCTTCTCCATTGACAACTGAAATGAAGGAAAACCCTGATAAATTGAAGTGACATCAGATTCAGATGGGCCAGTAGAGAGACTTAATTCCAAGTCAACCTTCGGTTTAACCGTCTGTGCTTTAAGCGACTTATTAGCTGGTTCTTTTGGGCTAGCTACCTTATCATTACCAAGATTGAGAGAAAAATCCAGATCAAGTGCCATTGAGGATTCCTCATCAGTTTCTTTAGCAGAAGACACTCTGGTGCATGCGGTTGCTGAACTACCTTTACTGTCAGAAGAACTTGAGGAATGAACGAACCGGCCAAGAGACAAAGAAGATCCAACTGACTGACAACCCATGGATTTCTCAATCGAACTCCACTTCCGCTTCATTCCCTTCGGTATGGACCGAAAAGGGACTGAAGATCCAGTAGAATCAAGTCGCAGAACGGTATCTGCACTGTCGACAGCTCCAATTTTCCCATCTTGGAAAGACTTTCCCAAAATATTTAGCACATTCAAGGAAGAATTGGCAGAAAAATTCAAGTTCTGAAAGTTTGAGCCCATTAAATTTAGTTAAAATATTGGTACCAAGACTTCTAATAGCAATAGACCAGCCTGCCTGACTTCCGGGATTTAAAAAGTAAAAGCTATGGAACTAGTTTTATTTTATTTCTTTTATGTTGAAAAAACAAAGAAGAAGCTAAGAAACTAGAATCAATTGTTTCTGAAAAAGAAGATCCCGCCCCCACTAACAAATCCCGAAGTGTCACACCGGTCCATCTTTTAAAATTCAATACGCCCTTTAGCGTATCAGATGCACCAATTACTGATGAATCCAAGCAAACTAACTTCAAAAGAGGCGTACTGGTAATCAAACAACCTGTAACAACAATTCAAAGCATAATTAAAGTAGTAAAAACGAATCATATTACTAAAGATAACAGATTTTTCTCAAAACGTAGCCCCTACTCGATCGTTCATCATAGTCAACAGGGGAAACAAAAAGGACACAACAGAATAATTTCAAAGACAGAGAAATATTAAGGTATAAACAACCATTTCAATTTGTAGAGTCTTTGGTAATGTATGGGTTCTTGACAAATCTAACAAAAGGTATTTGCATGCCTACATCTAATCGGAGGATTTCAAAAGGAAGCAAATAGTGCATATATTAGGATCAACCAAATAAAAAATTTATGTAGCAGCACAGTCTTTCTTGAATCCTTTTGGGATAAAAAGGATCAACCACAAGATGAAATCGTTTATACGGGGCGTGCCAGAAATGAAAAACAAGCTCATACCGAAAGTTAAATAAACTCCACAGCCCCATCTATTGCTATTATCTCAATGAAAAAACAACCCAACTGGTCATATGCAAAATTTTCTAATAAATCAAAAGGAGTACAGTAAACTGATAAGAGAACAGTAAATACATGCAGAAGGATCCTCGGAAGTACCTTACAAATACAAGCAAATTAATGAACCAAACAACCAGCCAACGAGCCATAATTAATATACCGACCATTTGATTGACATAGTGTTGTACATGAATGAGACAGATAATCTTTTTCAGATGTAAACCATAATCAAGAACATCTTAATACTTAATTTCAGACATGAATACCATTTTCTTCTTCACAAGAGAGGGTGGAGGAAAAAAACAGTGAGGTCAAAAGAAAAGATTTGCCAACATTTCAAATAAAGTTAGCTCAATCACTAATGAAAGAGAAAAGGTCAGCGATTAATTGAACTGTACCAAGAGCTTCAGAAACATAATTTAAAAGGCATTCCTATGCATGCCAAATTGAAAAGAAAAAAAAGACAGACAGAAATGACCAGAGAGGGGAAAAAAACAAAATCCCAAATCATATTCCAAAAATCTAACAGAGAAGATCAAATAAAACCCACTTGTTCCAATTACACTTTAATTCAAAACATAAACTCGCTCGAGGATACGTCAACAGTGAGACCAAAAGAGTAGATTCGTCGACATTTCATATAAAAGGCAGCTGAATCACGAAGAGGAAAAGCATCCCATGATTAGTTGAAGTGCATCCCGAGCTTCACAACAAAATTCACAAATCCCAGACATAAATCAGCAGAAAAAACAATCCTACGCATGTGAAATTCAAGACCAGAGAGACGGAAAAACCAAACCCCAGATCAAATTCAAANATTTCACACCCTTATAAGAATGTTTTGTTCCTCTCTCTCCAATCAATGTGAGATCTCACAACATATTTTTTAAAACACAAGTGTAGTTTCCAATTAGATTTCAAAAAAAAAAAAAAAAAAAAAAAACAAAAGACATCAGAAACAGACAGGAACTTCCTCGTAAGCTAAAACCCCAACGCCCTCCATACTTCCAGCAACACAAAACAGGGGAAAAATAAAATAAACCCAAATCAAAGAACGAACAAAGAATCTCAATTCCGGTGAAACAAACAAACACAGAGCAGAAAGACAGAAGTTCAAAGAGGGTAATAGAACAAACAAGAACCAATGAATTAATGATTGAAAAAGAGAAACAGAGGAAGGAAGTAAGAAGGATTTAGAGAAAAGAAGTAGAAGACAGAACCTGAGAGTTGGATCGAAATTCATGCGGCGATTTGGGGAAGAGGAAGCGGAGAATTTAAGGAGCGAGAAGAAGGCGCCGGCGGAGAAGGAAGAGAGGGATGAGGCAGAGGGTTAGATTGAGAAAAAGACATACAAAGGCGCACACATACAGAGAGAGTAGAGAGAGCAACAACAATCTAGAGAGAGAAAGTGAGAGAGATGCTCCAAACGAGTGGATGGTACGCGCATTTACAGGAGAAGAGGCTGCACGTTTAATCCCAAACCCGGTTCGGTTTTTATAAACTGGTACGGTTCGTTCGTACTCATCCACGCGCCTTAATTCTTTTGTTTCTTTTTTCTTTTTTTTAATTATACTCTCTCTTCCATTATACATGATTTGGCAATAATTCTGTGGGTTTCAATCATTTTTTATTTCTATAATAATAATAATAATAATAATATTGCAACAATTTCATAAATTTTAGAATATAGTTTAGGGGTAATTTGGGTTTATTTATTTTTTAAAAATTATAATTTTAGTTTTATAATTCAATTATCATAATTTCAATTTCTTAAATTTGAGAATAATACTATAAATTATCATTTTAACGACACGATTAATCAAAAATTTTAATTTTTATTTAATTCAATAACATGTGGGACATAGTATATGAATATATTTTGATTTTATGTCGAAAGATAATATAAAATATTTTTCATTTTGAAGGGTCATGTTAGGGGTGAATGTTTTTTTCCCAAATCTGACTCTTGGAAGCCTGAAAACTTTGGATTAAAATAATATATATTTTTAAATAATAATAACTGGTTATATTGCGACAACAAATCATTTCAGTAAATATTATAAAAAAAAAAAGAAAAAAAGAAATGAAAAATGTGGCAAGGTTGGAGATGACAATGAAAAACATTAAAATAATATGTAGCATGCACAAAATATCCTTTATTTACTTTTTAATATTTATATAATTTTAAAGGAAAGGAATTAATGCATTCACTCCATGGACTTCACTACACCCCGATTTTATAAATCAATAATATATTAATTCATTCTATTAAATAAAATCCAAAATTAAAAATTATAATTAAAAAGTTTAATTCGATCTGTGTGTTAATATTATTTTTTTTATTATTTTTATTTTAAAGAGCTAAAACGGTAATGAGGGAGGGAGGAGTGGCGTGGCGATCCGAAATCGGGAAAATAGGAGGGAAGGTGGTGACACGTCAGCAGATGACTATTTCTTTATGCATCGGCTTCTCCTCGTCACCGCTCCTTTTGTGTTGTGGGCCCCACTTCTTGACTTCCACGTTTCTCTTCGTTTACTNGGTTTTCTTTTTTTTTTTTTTTTTTTTTTTGTTAGTCGCGGTTTTTCTGATTTCAACAACAAAGCCCTTCCACGCGCCTGTTTCTTCGCGTGTTCTTCAAACTCCATTCTTACTCTTCTCTTTTTAGTCTTCATTATTTTGTGAAGTTCTCGAAGCGGCGTCGTTTTTTTTTTGTGACGTTTTTTTTTTAATGATTTTAAAAAACATGTTCCAAAAAGGAAAATAATAATAATAATAATAATAATCAAGGGTTTAAATTTCATTTGGCCCCCCTCCAGCTTTTGGAATTATTCTTTTTTTATATATATGTTTATTTTAGCATCTACATTTTAAAATGATTAGATAACCTTTTAATTTATGTACTAAATATTTTTTTAATATATTATCGTCATATATTACCAAAATATTAATTTTGATACTAAATCTAAATACATCTCCTCTATACCTTTTGTTCCGGAGGCAAATTTAAATATCTAAATATATATAATATTGTAAAAGAAAAATACTATTTTTAATTTTGAAAAATAAAAAAGTATAATAAAGTTTTTTTTTTTTTTTTTTTTTTGAAGGACTGATGTTTACCAAGAAATTAAAGAATGGCGGTGAGAAGGCCACAGACNTTTTTTTTTTTTTTTTTTTTTTTTTAATAATTTAAAAGTGTGTTTCTATATTTATTGGAAAAAAAAAAGTCAAAAAAGAATTTATTCTTCTTTCCCCTCTTCCACTACTTGATTTAGACCTTCATTTTTCCAACATATTAAATATTTTATAGAGTTTTATTAGATATAAAAAAAAATTAATTTTATTTAAAATAAAATCATAACAAATTTAAATGATTTTGGCAGGATATTAATTGCACTTGGAAGCATTTAAAGTTACCATATTGACTTGGAAGACTGTCGGCATAAATTTTTATTTACTGTTTTTATGTGAATAAAGAACAATATATTATTTATTATTATTAAAAAAATAATCATAGAGATTAAGAACTTATTGAACTAAAAATTAAAAAATTTAAACGGTTTTTTTTCTCAATTCAATTAAATCTTTTATATATAAATTTTTATCTATAAACTTTAAATATTTGATTTGATTGTAAACTTTAAATTATAATTTACACATATATTGGACTAATCATATGGTAAGATATTTGATATATGAAAAAATATATATATTAATGCTGATGATTAAATTATATGAATTATAGAAGGCTGCGGGTGAGGAATATTCGTGTGACACTGAGGCGCACGTGCCATGTCACATGCCAACGGCACGACAACCAAGCCCTACTCACCACGTCATCATCTTCGGCTGCTCCCTATTTCTTAGATTTTTTTTTTTTTTTTTTTTTTTTGCTTGCCTCTCCACCTAAGTGCCGTCTCTCTCTTTTTCTTCAATTATATCTACTTTTCCAAAAAGAAAAAATTATGATCAATTTTGAATTATTTTTTTTTTTGAGATTTTAATTTGATTTTTAATATTTTAGTCGTGTAGTTTTTAGATTTATTTTATTTTTAGTACATAGAACTTTTAAACTATCTTTAGAGCGGGTTAGAAAATATTTTAAAAGTTAGAGGCTTAAATCCAAAGGAGAAAGAGTAACGGTGAGGTTTTAGTACATCACATTCTACGGAAATGGAAAGTGAGATAAAGTAAGAGAGGAGAGGCCATCGACTAATAATCATTCATTCTTTCTTTAATTCACAATCACATCCAACAATTTTGTCATCTCCAACTTCTATTTTGTTCCTTTTCTAAAACTAGGAAAAGGATTTCATTTCGTGAAATAAATGATGTAAAAAAACAAAAAATTGTGCTTATGTTTTAATTCAAAGGGTTTCAAAGACAAAAGAACTTTCACGTCAATCTTTGAAGAATGTTTATTTGAGTTTATTTCATGCGTCTTAAAATGAAACGACAGTTTTGCATGAGCATGCAGAATCCTAAATCCCTCAACCAACTAGAAATGATATGACATTTCATTTCTTACGCCTTGAAATGAGACTGACCTCGAAAAATTGAACGCCAGACTTCAGGCATGAGCATGCAGAATCCTAAAACCCTCAACCAACAATATTCCCTATCTCCTAAAGAAAAAAAACAACTTTCTTAATAAAAAAAATCAACTGAATAACTTTTTAAAAGTCTAATTACCAAAAACAGTTCTTAAAAGACGCAGAAAACTAGGCCAACCTCTCGTTTGTCTCATTCACGAAGGAAAAGAAGTCAAAGCCACACAATCGTTGGATTCCGAGCTTTTCGACTTTATATGGTCTGATTGAACTTTCTACTCCCGTTTACACTGTTTGATATGCACAACCCAGAAATCTTTGCTAACACATTTATCATTAGTCCACAAAGAAAACAACTTAACTCATGAATAACAGTTGAGATCAGAGTTCGAAATATTATAGTTCCTAGTTTACTATTATGGCAGCAAAGACGAGAAAAAGAACACCTCCAACGTAGGCGATAATCTGCAAATAAAACGATATATATTAGAACAAAAACTTCCTTTGTGTACGTAACTTCCAGGAATAAGAATATGCTCCACTTTTGAGATAAAAATAGGCAACTTGAGTTAGCATCAACAAGAATAACAAGCAGCCTAGTAGGTGGGCCTAGACTTGTTAATGGTTGCAACTCAGGAAGACTGAAAAGCATAAAACTTTCTTGTTCCAGAAATTTGTTACGTTCAACTAATGGGTGGGACATTTCTAAAGCACGTATGCAATGATGCTGCTAAACTGCACAGCCATTTTGCTAATCGACACTCAATTGTCTAACGTAACTTGAGACTTTCGAGGGTGGAAAAGATAAGATATATTCATTGGTATATGTTCATGTTGAAAGGTTCAAGATAAGCACTTTTGGGTACCATAATTCGTGAGTAGCGTAGAGAACATACATTGACAACTGACAGCATCAAGTGCATTTGAAAAAACTCATGTGCATATAAGAGAAACTAATATGGGCAACTAGGACGGAACTGTTTGCGTTTGCATGATGCTATGGAATTCTGGAGGAAGAAAGAAAGAATACAGTCGCAGTAAAAATCGGACATATCTAGATTCCAGAAGGAAAAAATAACAAAAGACAACTGCTACGTCGATATTCCATTCCTTTTCATATTTGGTTGGGAGAGAAAGAATTAAAGAAAGCAAATGGGATTTCAAACAATAATTACTTTGATTTTTTTTTTTCCCCTCTCTTTGGTGGAGACAAGACTACTTTTAGAACGTTCAAAAGAGAAGTTTGACGAATAATTTCTCACTGATCGTCCTTTACTCGTAAACTTGTGCCAATAACTGAAAAACTAAAGAAATACTCTACTCCAAAAGTCTTAATTTTCTTTGCTGAAAAAGTAATAATATGAAGGATCAATTCCTTTTTCATTTTTTTTCCCCTTGTCCAGGGAATTGCTGATCTTAATACAGCCCCCTCTCCCCACAAAGGGAAAAAAGACAAATACATAAGTTTCATATCATAATCTTGGCTGGTTAGCCTTCTGACCCATATTGAACAGTTAAAAATAGTTGGTCGTGGTACGGTTTTTAAAGAGAGAGAAAAAAAAAAAAAAAAAAAAAA